GTTCGTACTCGACCTCCTATGGTAAGGGAGGTTCGGGACCGGCCCCGTCTATCAACCCCTGGTCCTCGGAGCTCAACGAACCCTGAGGATAGAACTTCTCCCCGGTCACCCCCGCGCTCCACAGCGAATCCATGTCGGCGGAGGCGCTCACGTGGTCCAACCGCACTTTGGAAAGACCTTTCCCGAAATGGTGAGTCAGATATCGGCTCCGGGAAGCCTCCTGCGAAGGGCCAAGAGGCGATGCCGAAGCGGCAGTCGCAGACGAAGGAACCTCATGACTAGGGCCTCCTCCACGGGCCTCAGCAGCGACGAAAGTCGGGGTCCCCTGCTCGGCATCCAGAAAGTCCACAATGGGGACGCCCGACCTTGCTTGCGAAAATCAACCCCATGTCAAAAATAAACCAGGTGACATACGGGGAACCACAAAATCAAGCAAACAAACGCTACCTACCTCAGCAACTTGGTCTCCCACCTCGGCAGTGGTCACCCCGACCTGCGAAAGGATACACTCCGCCACAATAAACCAAACAAAGACAGCGCAAAAGACGCGCATAAAGAGAAAGGACACTCACCTCAGCGGCCTGCACAATAGGCTCAGCAGTCTGAGCCACCTCCTCAGAGGCCACCTGGGACGGTGGACTCTCAGTGAGATCCACCGCATCAGCATCAGCGGCCTTGGAGGTCACCTCCTCGGCACCTGGAAGGACCGAGGTTCCCCCGGCCTCTTTCCCCCCCTTTTTCTCTTCCGACTAGCCTTCAGGGGGGTAACATCCTCCTCCAAAGGCTCAGGAACCTCGAGCTCAGCAACGTTGTAGCAGTGCTTAAGCTCGCGCCACAAGTTTTTCCCCATAATGCCTGCAAACAAAAACGGAAACACATCAACAAAAGGAAATTCCACGAACCCTAGCAAACCACCAAAACACGAAATACTCACTCTCTAAGCCCCTCTCCCTGTAGGGCGAATTCGCAAGCGACATAACGAGCTTGCAATCCAGCGGGCAAGGGAGCGCGACAAGGTTTTCGATGGCGGCTGCCTCTGAAGCGTCACCTCCAGGTTACCCAAACCATGAAACCTAGACGGTTTGGAACACCAGTAAAAAGGAAACTTCGGCAAGCCGCCGAAGTGGAACACCTCATCCTCCAAGGGGTCAATACCCACAAGGGCAACCCGGAAGAACTCCTGTTTGAAGTTTTTATATAAGTGGGAGTAGAGAGTAAACAAACCCCCATCCCTACTCCCATTCAAAGACAAAATACCATAAAGCGGAGCACCTAGCTTCAGTTGATAAAAATGAAGAAAGACGCGAAGAGACACCTCTATCCCCAGCACTGTACACAGGACTTGAAAAGCCCTCAAAAAAACCCCAGCTATTGGGGTGCAACTGGCAAGGAGCTGAGTTGATGAAGTTCAAAAAATTGCACTCAAATCGGGTGAAAGGAAGGCAGACACCTAAATCCCTAAAAAAGCTTAGGTACATATAGAAATGGGGAGGATCAGTAGACTTCCCCATGTACATGCCCTCATCGACCTGACAAGGCTCAAGCCGAATCATATGGGAGATAGAAGGGTCACAAACCCTACGCGACCTAGAGATCCTGTTAACATCAAGAAAGGTCCAAAAGATGCTTTGGACCCCCGCCATCTCACACTTGACCCATTCATAACCAGGAATGGCTGGCTCCGGGCCCCGGGGCGGATCCCTCTTTTCGGCGGTAGCCTTCCCGACAGCCACCGCCTTAGCACGCGTCTTACCCCGAGAAGGCGCAGAAGAAGCGACACTACTCCCCCCAACCATGAAAAACAAAAGAAAGACTCGAAGAAAAACTGGGAAGAAGAGAAAAGAAGACAGTAAAAAGAAAGTACCTGGTACTCCTCTTCAGAAAATAACCCTAACAACGAAGGGGTTACCGGAAACGGTGACTGAAACAGAGACGGAGAACGGACGGAAGCGAGAGCAACGGCGTGCACAAGAAGCCATAATAATGGAAAAGAGAAAAGTGGAAAAGGCCAAGAGGCGCGAGTGAAAGAAAAGAAAAAACTCTCCCCCAGAATTTCAAAACGGTCACGACACGTGTCACCCAAGGGACACGCCTGACCACGCATTAAATGAGACCCATTATGACAGAGAAAGCCATCATTGCATAACCGTCACGACCACTAACGCGCTGACCTCGTGTTCCGAAATACGAAACGACTTTTGCACGCGTGGCATCTCGACAGGCGTACATACGCGAATGGTCACTTCCCCCTGACGAGCTCAGTCTTAACTCCTCGACCTACGGTCTTCGGAGCTCGGGGGGCTAGTGTACTGACCGTACCGCGAAGCCGAGCTCCAAGCTCGGCATCACAGTGCAAGATGATCCCGGGCACGCGTCGTGCGACGTGAGCTCGACATTCAGGTGAATCGCAACTGATTCCCGAGGATCTCGCCCATACGAGATCCATTATGTAATCACTAGCATCACAGTGCAAGATGATCCCGGGCACGCGTCGTGCGACGTGAGCTCGACATTCAGGTGAATCGCAACTGATTCCCGAGGATCTCGCCCATACGAGATCCATTATGTAATCACTAATTACCGAGGATCTCGCCCCAGACGAGATCCGCTATCATATCTTATCTCAGGCCCAGAGCCCAAAGCAAACCTAATTCACTCCAAGGTACGTGCATTACTTATTCGAGACTATTACTCATACAAACCCTAACTTTGGCATCGAAGTCTCTTTTGCAGGTACCTCCCCCATCTTGGAGCACCAATACATCAAGCAAAGGAGGCTAACCGATCTTACTGGACGGATCACCCTTACGGTCAAATTCCGGTAAGAACAAAAACATTATATATTATTTTAATTATAACATAACTTATATATTTTTACTAAAGTTTTAATTATATAAAATTTAAAACTATATTGTATATTGCACAAGATCAAAATTTAGCAAGTAATTGACTAAATTTGTTTAATAATAAAAAGGCTATAGATAATCTTTTAGAGTGTGCTTTACAAAATTAATTTATAAGTTAGTTAAAGTTTGTATATAAATTATAAATTAGGAATTAAAAAATTAGAAACTTATATATTTATTGATTAAATTAAACTATTTGATAAATTTAATTGATGATTTAATAAATATAAAATAATCAATAAAAACATATGTATTTATTTAAAAAAGAATTCAAATATAAAATGATAAAAAAAAGAAGAAAAAAACTAGTAGCTTAAGAGGTAAACTTTTTATAATCTTGTTGATCTGACTTATGAAAATATGTAAGTAACCAGTAACATAAATTTGTGTATCATTTTTTTTTCTTTTCAAATAAACTTATAAACCAATTAAAATATCTTTTAAAAAATTAAAATGTCTTAGAAATGCACTATCGTGAAGGTGATGTTTGATTGCGAGAATAAAAATTAATGATAAAAAAATGATATTATATAATTTTTTAATTTAAATAAAAATAGAAAGAAAACTGTAATTGATATATGTAAACTTAATAATTTATTCTTATGGGGGAGATTTTCCTAATAACATTTTTAATCAATTGAAAAATCAAGGACTAATAAGTGAGTCAAAGCAAAATACAAATAATTGAATAGCTTATGTTAATGAATTGATTCTAGTATTCATCAAAAGTGCTTGTAGCTTAATAATTATAAGTACTAATTTGCGTGTAACTGCATGTTGAATTCAAAATATATATAAAAAAATGCAATCAATTATCTAAATTCTATAGTATACTACATTGTGTGTGTAACTACTTAATTAAAAACAGAGAAAAAAGTGTAGTTAAATGTAATTGATTAACTAAAATTTCAAATTATTACATTGATGTAAATTATTTTTCACATGTGTTACGAGAGAAGGGACAACTTTGTTAACTTTCAAATTTCTTGTGTATTTCCAGACTTATAAGCGAGGAAATAAAACTGGTGTGAGACCTACTCATGAGAAGAAAAAAAAAAAACTTCAAGACAAACACGTTGGTGCGCCCATATCTCCTTAGGGTATGTTTAAATGTAATATAAATATTTATCTGTTTCCGACATTTTGTAAATTCAGAATTTAGATGTGTATTTGAGACCATGAAAGTCCTTTCTTCATAGTAAGACCACAAAAGTTCTTATTGTTTTTAGAGCACATAAGCGTGAGGCATTTGCTCTCTATAAGACTTTGTTGTGGATTAAAATCTAAAGTCACGATTATCATCATATAATTTTAGGTATCAAAAGACCTCTCAAAAGAATGTATTTAATTTTGGAGTTATTATTGATAAATGTAAACTCCTCTTGCATAGTTTGATAAACCATAAGGTTAGATTTTTTGTTAGACAAACGAACTCAATTGTTCATAGTATGACTAAAGCATTCAAATCCAATACTAGTCTAAACAACCATAATCATATATCCTTATAGTATGAACTTACTAATTATCTTTTTTTCATTTTCACACTTGAGTCCCACCAAACGATCAAATTTATTTTTTATTGCCTGTGTCTATGCTTGGATAATTTTTCGCAACCAAACAGTGTGTATAAGATAAGTATTTGACAAGGTATGCTGTAGATACCGGTGTGAGCAAAATTATAATAAAATTATGGGGTGAAGAAGATTGAATAATGATACATGTTTTAAAGTAGTAATGCAATCTGAAAAGAAATCTGCGGTTCTCCGTTACAAGGACTTTGGAAGTCCAACGTAAAAAAAAAGAGAGAGATTGGTTGGTAGGAAATAGGAATGAGAAAGTGGGGAAACAAGAGTTAGGGATTTGAATTGTGTGACTGGAGCGGAGGCATTTCCGGAACAGCTGCATGTAAGACAAGTGTGCGCAATGCCAATTGCCAAACTCCAATTTAATTTCCCTTGCTTTAAAAAGAAAAGAAACCCCCAGGGGCAGTTGCGTAAATTCCCCAACCATCTCCCAAACGAACCCTATCAAACAAATCCTTCAATTTTCCGCCAGCCCCAGCCCCAGCCCCAGCCCGGATCTTTCGCGGACGTGTTTCAGACAATTTTTCTTCCGCGCAGAGCCAAAAGTCACTTCTCTCCATTTTTTAATTTTCATTTTTATTTTTTAGCCTTCCAACTTGTGTTTTCTCTCTCCCTCTGCCCTTTACGCTGAAACTCTTGCTATTATATAAATCCACTCACCACACTCCCTTTCTCTCTCTCTCTCTCTCTCACACCTCACACCTCACACCACTTCGCTCAAAACTAGCATCCCAGCCTTGCATGCATTCTGCTTCCCCTATTCCCATTTCCCTCACCAACCAAACCAAACCTAAATCGCTTCATATTCTGTTTCCTTTAATTCCACAGTAATAACCATAACCACACTCGCATGGAGAACAAGTAGCAGGTACCTGTTCAAAGAGTAACGCCCTTCCAGAGTCACAGGTTATTATTATTATTATCACAGTTTGGGCTTTAAATACGCACACCAAAGCCTTTTTGTTTGTTTTTGCTTACTAAACTATTGCTCATTTCTGCTCCTTCAGAAACGTTCATTACATCACTTCCATTTTGCACCACTCGTACAGAACAATGGCACGTGCGACTAACTGGCTTTCGTTCTCGCTTTCCCCCATGGAAATGCTCCGAACCTCCGAGCCTCAGTTCGCTCAATACGACGCCGCTTCCGCCACTTCCTCTCATCACTACTACCTCGACAACTTGTACAACAACGGTAACTAAATAACTAAATAAATGAAAATACAACTAGTTCCACTACTTACTAGTTGCACACTGAAACGGTTCGTTTGGTTGGTGCAGCTGCAGGGTGGGGAAACGGGAACCTCAAGTCCCAGGTGCTGATGGAGCAGAATCTGAACCAGAGCGAGGTCAGCTTCGTGGACTCGTCGACGCACTCGCGGGGCGTGAGCCACGCGCCGCCGCCCAAGCTCGAGGACTTTCTCGGCAGCGACTCCTCCGCCGTGATGCGCTACTCCGACAGCCAGACCGAGACGCAGGACTCCTCGTTGACTCACATGTACGACCACCACGGTTCCGCCGCGTACTTCGGCGACCACCAGGATCTCAAGGCCATTGCTGGATTCCAGGCGTTCTCCACCAACTCTGGTTCCGAGGTTGATGACTCGGCCTCCATCGGGAAAGCGCAACCCAGCGAGTTCGGGACTCACTCTATTGAATCCTCGGTGAACGAGTTCAACGCGTTTTCCGCCGCCTCCGGCGGCTGCGGCGGTGCTTCCGGAACTCTGTCGCTCGCTGTGGCGCAGAGCACCGAGAAGGCCGTCGTGGCGGCGGATTCCGATAGCTCGAAGAAGGTCGTGGAAACCTTCGGCCAGCGGACTTCTATTTACAGAGGCGTCACTAGGTATACTAATTTTTCAATTCTCTGTTATTATTTTGCTTAATAAATCAAACACTGTTCTTTTTTTAATTTTATTTAGTATGTGTGTATGTATGGTGCTTGTGCTAAAGAAATGAGAGGTTTCTCTTTTTCTAACCCAAAGGATCTTTTGGCACGTTGGAAGTTGAAAAAAGCTCCTAGCTAACTCCTGTGGTTCCCTTGTCTATTTGTGAAAATATATGGAGATAGTGATTTTAGTTATTTAGATTGTGAGAGCGAGGTCGAGGTCAGAAATTTGGCCTCTACTCACATCTATTTCATGTTAGATTTATTTTATTTTATTTATAAAAAATTTGGTGATGGGTCTCTGCAGGCACCGATGGACAGGTAGATATGAAGCGCATCTATGGGACAACAGTTGCAGAAGGGAGGGTCAAGCCAGGAAAGGGCGTCAAGGTCTTTTTCTCTCTTTATTTTTTTGTTTTTGTTTTGAAGTAAATGAAAATGAAATAATGGGGAAAAAATAAGGAGGAATAGAGGGTATGATCCTACTACACTGAAAAGTGGCTTGCATGCATTGAAGGTGCATTTAATGGATGGAGTGTGGTAGGACACCTGGGTTTCTTTGTAAACAGTATTTTTTATGATTGACTGATGGGGGTATATGCATATACTATGCTGGTAGTACTTGTTACTTCACTGTTCTGCGTTTTTATTTCTATTGATTTGATCCGATGTGCCGCCATTTTGCCTCTTGTGAGTCGGGTGTCTTTGCTTTCTTGTCTGCTCAGACATGTTAATCTCTCATTTCTGTTTTCTCTCTGCATTCTCTATCTGATCCGTACTCCTTTGTTGACGCCTCCATGTCTAGTATCTTGTCTATCCGTCCTTCTTCTTTCTCATTAGTCATAAATCATAACTGATAGTGTTGTGTTAGGGCTTTATCTTTTGCTTTTTCTTTCCCACTTGCCAGGAAAAGCTGTGTTTGACCACATCACCCATCACTCCCATGTTGAAATTTGTACTTGCTTACAATGAGGAGGTGGAGCGTCCACTGTTGCCTGAAAGGTTCATGACAGTGGGTCTGCCCCCTCTCTCTCAGAATAATGTCCTCTTGGGTCTGAAACAAACTCACGGGATTTCTTAGATCTTATGTTGCAAGGACAAATAAACTTGTAGATATTTTTTAACGAGTCACTTTATTGTAATAAAGAAGGGAAAGAAGCGGCAAAAAAGCGATCTGTCTAAATCGTTCGAATGAGAAATAGGCAATTCGGCATTTCTTTTTTCGGTCTGTTTTAAATGCCGGGATATGTCTTTGACTATGAGCTACCTAGTGGGGTTATTGAAATTTTTATCAACAGAAATAGAAAAATTGAAAACTTAACTACTTTGCGCAGATACTATCAATTTTTATCTTTAAATTAATGTTGTTTATAGTTTGAACTTTTTGGTATACCTAAAATTCGACGAGTCCTTGTACAAGAAAAAGAGAATGGGGTCGATGTATGCAATCCAATGTACAGTTGTTTTCTATCCTATGTAGCAGCCATAAAGGGCGTGAGAGAAAAAAATAAAGGAAAAAAAAGGTTTCTTGTGCGCATGCACCATGGCAATTGGCAAGCATATGATCACTTTTCTTTCGGCCATTTGCATTTTTGGGTTAGAAAAGTAATTTTTGGCAGATAATTTTGACTATTCCGTTTGCTGATGTTTGATATTTTGGCTTTTCCTTTGCATGGAACTGGACTTTGGTGCATTTCTGGCTGTCATTTAACTTTTTGACTCCTCTACAGTTTATTTGGGTAAGCAGTATTTTTCATTTAGATTTGTTTCAAGAATGCTTATCAACCTTTCTTAACGTTTTTCTGTTGTCTGGGAGATGGTTTTGTGACATAGTAAATTGTCGTGGTTATCAGGTGGATATGATAAGGAAGACAAGGCCGCGAGAGCTTATGATTTGGCAGCTCTAAAGTACTGGGGTCCCACCGCTACCACCAACTTTCCTGTAATGCAGTCACTTCTTTCTTGTATTCAGTTTTGATAGATCTTAGTTGCATGAAATCCTACGCATATACCAGGACTAAAATCTTGAAGTAGGTCCAAAGAAGGAGAGATTCTACGAAAGGAATAATGTCTAGTATTTATATTTAAATACACGAGTATATACAGAAAATTTGCTTAAATGGAACGTGGTTAATGGATGGTGTGGAGGAAATATGCTTTACTTGGTACGCGAAAAGTAGAGGCTAAGGTGCCAAGAATGGGAATATAGGATTTTCAGACGAACGTGGCAAGAATGAAAAGAGGGAGGAGGCGGTGGGGGGATATATAGCTATTGTATATATAGCTAGCTTCTGTTTTTTTCTTTTTCTTTTATTATTTTTAGGTTAACGTATATGTAACTTCTGAAGTAGTTAATATGTCAAATAGCATCGTGGAATCGTGAGTGTATTGTAAATATATACAATAAGAACTGAGATTCTACATGCATGGATCAGTATTGGAACTAACATCACTCACCTTATTTCTATCCTCTTTTTCCAGGTTTCCAATTATTCAAAGGAAGTGGAGGAGATGAAACATGTAACAAAGCAAGAATTTATTGCATCATTGAGAAGGTTTGCTTGAGTTGACCTATTAAAATTTTAGCCCTGTACATGTATGCGGCTACTGAAAATTTGGATTTCCATTCTTGCAGGAAAAGTAGTGGTTTTTCCAGGGGAGCTTCCATATACAGAGGTGTTACAAGGTTTGTAATCTTTAATTATTAAACGTATTGGTGCGCTTGCTCCTATGTTATATACTTATAAGTTGTATGCTCCAGGCATCATCAACAGGGTAGGTGGCAAGCAAGAATTGGCCGCGTAGCTGGAAACAAAGATCTGTACTTAGGAACATTCGGTATATATTTTTTTTTTCTTCTATAGTTTATGGTATAAAAAATGATTTGATTGTTTTAAACTTCTAATGAATTATTGTTAGTGGTCAAGTTTCACAGCATCCCTTTTCCGGGTCAAAAGTACTGAAAGATAATCAGAATAGATAAGATCATAGCACATAAAATAACAGTAAAGGTTAGGAGTAGGACTGACAATCAATAAGAAGCCCAAATGATAATTTGTCCTCATGGAAGACCAGTCCAATCTTTAGACCTTATCTCCAATCTTTGAACTTTATTGTAGTTTAGCTGGCGTGACTGGGAACAGTTATTTTACATTGTTAAATATTTATTTATTATTTATATGAGTTGGAAATAGTATGTTCGATGAATAATCATGGCTAACTCAGCTCACATGTTTACAGCGACTGAAGAGGAAGCAGCAGAGGCGTACGATATTGCAGCAATAAAGTTCAGAGGTGCAAACGCAGTAACCAATTTTGAGATGAATAGATACGATGTGGAAGCTATAATGAAGAGTTCTCTTCCAGTTGGTGGGGCAGCAAAACGCTTGAAGCTTTCCCTTGAATCAGAGCAGAAAGTTGCTGTGAACAGCAATCAACAGAATCCACAATGTGTAAACGTGAGTGGCAACATCAATTTCTCGTCCATTCATCAGCCACTTGCCTCTATCCCTTGTGGAATTCCATTCGACTCTACAACAGCATATTATCATCACAACCTTTTCCAACATTTTCATCCCAACAACGCTGGCACAGCAGCTTCTGCGGTTACTTCTGCCAATGCAACTGCAACCGGACTCACTGCACTGCCACCACCATCTGCAGCTGAGTTCTTTATTTGGCCTCACCAGTCTTATTGATCTAATAAACTAGTCATCTTTTGCTAATTTTCTGGTTATGCTAACAAATCAAAAGCTATAGGCTCTGGCACAGTTAAGCTGACCCGCTTCCGATCCTCTATAATTAACCCTTTAGGCTGCTAAGAAAGAAAAATGAGGTTTTTTGTGTTCGCTAGTCTTAGTTACAATAGGAAGCTGGATATGTAACTAACTACTCAAGAAATGAGAAATATTTCGTGCATAATAATTTTGCACCAGAATTTCTTAAATGCTTCTTAGCTTGCAGCTGTAGTATGCTTTTGTTTAATTACCTATTTGGCTTCATGTTTTAAATTATAGTTTATAGCATGTTTGTGAAACATGAAAGTGGATGGAAGGTAGATGGTGTTCCCTGATCCGAGATTAAAGGGATGATTCATTAATAACATTATGCGGAAGCTTTTTCGAAATATAATTCATCTGAAAACTCAGTAATCGCGGGGGGCTGGTTTTACTCGGTCTTAAGCAAGGTCCCAATTCTAGTATTGTGACTTCTGAATAAAGAGGACGAGCTTGAAGTTGTGGCCCAATATGGTATTGCATGTTGAGACAAATCTTCCTGCTCCACTTCTTTCGAAATAAATCAACAACAAAAAAAAAACGGAGAAAAAAAGTGGATCGAATTTGAAAATCGGGTTACACAATGCTTTTTCTTGTCTTCGTTGACAGGTGAAAACGATTGCACTTACGGTGGTTTTCCTCGTCTATATTAAACTAAAGTATTATTTTACCACACTTAATTTAGATATGTAATAAAATAAGATTAAAATTTTATTTAAATTTAAAAATAATTTAAGTAATGTTTGAATGACTTATTTTTTCTTATTTATTTTTGTTCTATTTCATTCACAAAATATATTTGTGAGGCATGCAACTCATTTTTATGAAATAAGGATTTAAGATATTTTTAAAGATAAATATCACTTAAAAGTGGTAGAGTAGTAAAGGATAAGTAATTTTTATTTTTATTTCTTAAGTTTTTGGTTGTTCATAAAACTCTCAATACTCTCGGTTATGTTTCCATCGTAATAAAGAGCAATATTATCACTAAGTTTTTTCTCATTTGAAGTAAAGGAGTTTTGCAAATCAAATATAGTATAAATACCCATATTTGATTGACATGTTCTTGTTTAAAATATTTTAGAATTGTTACTCATTTTACTAAACTCAAAATTCAATAAATTAGGGTTTACAATCTTAAACATGTAGTCAAAATAGACGAAGAAATTAAAGATGACTGAAACAAAAAAAAATCTAACTATAAGAAACACTACGAAACTCAACAATATTTCATTTTAACTAAAGCACCCATGACTAATATATTTAAACATGATAGTATTGTTGCCGATTAAAAATACCAAAATCTTTGTTATGAGAATAAGTGCCAACCTAACATTTAACATTTAAGTGTTGATTGTTTAAGAAAATAATAGTTAATAACTAAATATAACATGATGATTAACTTGTATAATGGAATTAAAATTTTGAGACTCAAATACGACAAAAAATCTTTCATAAACTTATTGGTTACCACCTCTACTATATTTTAGAGATCAAATTGAATCTTTATTGATTATCGTATCTTAATTTTATTATTATCTTGCATTAACAATTTTTTTTAAGAGATCCTAAATTATTTATTACTTCAAACATTACTATTTGTTTTATACTTCAATGGTTGAAAATATTTTATTTTAAAATACATTAAATATAAAGTAGAAGTCATTTGTTATACACGTTTTCTTTTAATACATTTTATTAAATGTTATTTGAGTATAACCTAGAAATCTTCCTCTTGTGTTCGAGTACAATGGTGTTACTAGGCTGACTCTAGTATATTAGAAGTCAATGAGCATATTACTTAAAGTTTATGCCCTTTATGAATATCATTTAAACCACTTTATCATTAGATTGACTCCAATAAATTAGAAGTCTTACCTTTTTATTATTAAGAATATAAATTTAACAAGGTTAGTAAATAATCGTCGGATTCTTTTAAGAGGTTGTCCATGATTCTATTTTTCCACCATGTGGATAAAAAATACTTTATTAGGAGAGACAAAAACCTATTTTAGTAATTTTCACTTTAAATGAAATTGTCCATGAAAAATTCATATGTAAACTATCAATCAGGAATACTCTTGGTATAAAATATGTGAGTGGGGATATTGAGGTTATTATATTTTTTAATGGATTATTTTATTTTTTAATTTATGAAGAGTCTAAAGTTTAGTTCCGAAAATAAAAATATTTAATTGTTAGTTTTTTCATATTTTATAAAGTTATTTTATTTATAATTTTTATTGTAAAAATAATTAATAACATTCTTTTTTATTAAATATTATGTTTTTCTTTATATATTTTTTATTATGAAAATAATTGTATTTTCCTTTTTCTTATACAAAATAATTGTGAATAATTTTCTTTTCTTTTTAATAGAATTTTCCTTTCATAATTTATTTTTACAATTTCAAATATTATAAATGACTTCATTTTCATCAAAATTATTTTATTACATTTCTTCTTACATGGATTTGATTAAAAAAATGATTTGGTAATTGAAATTTATTTATCAATTTTTATTAATTAAATAAATTTATTAACAACTGTAAAAGAGGTTAATGTCTTAAACTTTGACATCCTACACTAATACTCTCTCATTTTTTGTTATCACCATTTTTTTTTCAATATCCTTTTGTGTTTCTCATTTCATATTAATCAGATGACACAATATTTTTCTTTTCCTATTGTTTAATACTAAAGCTAATTTATTGTTCAAAGGTTAACTATTGTTGTCACAAAAGATAATTTAGTGAGTAACATAATTTATTTCAATTTTGTAATTTTTTATTGCATAATTAATAGGATTTTTTATTATTAAAATTAGGATCAAATTATTATATATTGATGAGTTCTTAGTAACACATGAAACTAATGATTGAACTTATAATCTAAAGTCTTTAAAATTATATATTATGATTTGTTTTAGATATTTTTTTCTTTTATACATTCTTAGATTATTTTTAAAATATGCATAATTATAAATATTTCATATAAAATTTATGCCTATATATTTATTAAAAAATATTTTTATTTTGGTCCTTACTGTGATTTTGATTCCACAATAAGGCGTACACCCAAAGATAGGGAATGTTAATTTAATTAATCCCTATATATCAAACACAATTCATTTTTTTGACAAAATATTTATAGAAGTTTTTCTTTGAAAAGGGAGTTTGTAGAAATTTTGTTTAATTTCTTATTAAATTCAGTTTTTTTTATTTATCTCAATTTATCTAATATAAATTAAATCCTAACAATTTTAATCCCGCTTCTCCTTCCCTGCCTTATACTCATATAATTAAATACCTTTCATATTTTATATATTATATATTTTATTTTTATTTAACTGACCCACTGATGCAACATCTTTTTTTAAATAGATTACAGATTTTCAATTAAACTTTTGCGCCTGATCGATTTGAACCGATTTTTAAAATATATATCTTAATAAACAGCATCAATAAAAATATTTTAATAAATTTAATTTAATAATCTGTTAACTTATTTTAAAGAAAAATAAAGTAAAAGCCTAATGACATCACCTTTTAAAAATATGTTAGAAAAAATTACACCTTTATAAATGCTTTAACATGTTTAATGGATATCTTCTAAAATAGGCAATTTACTTCAAAGAGTACATTAACAAATCTCAATTGTTGAAGAGTAAATTAACGGTTAACAATTTGACATTATTAATACATGTATAACAAATTATTGATGTGTTAAAATTTCAACATTTGATTTATTTTTTCATCTATCATTAAAATTTTTTATTTTACTATAAAAAAAATGAGTTACTCACTTTTTAAGGCCAAATAATATTGAAAATTGAGGAATAATAACACATACAATTGAGGTACACAATTCTAGCATTCCTTTTGGGTAATAGATACACCAATTTTTTTGAAGTTGCCAACGATATGCGGTGTATTTGACATGAAGAATTTTGAAAGTATGTTTTTAGTCCAAAAACTTTCGAGGTTTTGAGAACAGTCTTAGTTCTCCAAGCCCACGTCAGAAGCCCACTAGATTAATAATCTCAATAGCTCAAAGGCCCACTAGAATACGTCTCTCAATCTTATTTCCTTTACAATGAGAAAAAAAAAAAAAAAAGGCATTCCCTCCGAATATGATTATTAAAAATTATGTATAATTATTAAAGATAAAATGGAAAAGATAAAAATGAACACTAAAATAAGAATTTTTATTATTATCAATATAGGTATAGATTAAGAACATTTCTCCACCACGGTTGAAAATTAATCTCTTTCAATTTTGAAATTTAGAGATAGCCGAAGTGAATACAACCTCTCATAATAAACACTTTTCATTCACTCGGTCACGAATCAAACCCCACAAATCTGAGCCTTCGTAAAAAAAAGTTAACCTAATTCTCTTCATAAGATTTTCATGTGTAGAATATGGTGCTTGTTCAGAATTATAGGCAAGTAAGACGGCCCATTTGCCAAGTGTTTAAATTTAAAATGACATTTTACATCCTGAATAATAAATTTAAAAGATATAATTAATAAATTTAAAAGATATGATTGATTGTCGATGTCCAAAAAGAGTTAGGTACATAGTTCTATCATAATTTAATCTGATATGATTTTGAGCAACCTACACATTCTTTACTATCGATTAAATCTCACTTGAAGCTACAAAATCATGAGTAACCTCTTTATATGAGTAAAACCTATAAAATTATATATTTTTTTTAATAAATTGAAGTAATAATAAGAAGTGTTTTTTTTTTAAAAAAAAATGTACTAGAGAATGCTGTTTGCATTTTCCTATAATTTTATGCTGTTAAGGTTTCTATGCGTACAGCAGTAATAAATTGTCGATTTTTTTTGTTTTTTTGCAACCATTTTTCATAACTTGACAGCATAGGGAATTGGAAACAAGGCGCATATTTACGTGTCGATGAAACATGTCTAAATGGCACAGCAGAGTCAAAAATTACTCTGCTGCATCATTTCTACAGTACATAGTTGCATGAGAAACTATTGTTCTCAGGCATTAACCCAAAGCCAAAAGGCCCAAAAAACTATGATTTGTTTCTTGAGTAAAACTCCCTAAAAGTTCATGCTAAATAACAAGCACACTTGGCTTGAGACTTTGGATTTGGCCACACACTGCTACAAATATCATTCCATCCACAAAACAAATATACATTACATAGGGGAAACAAGAAATCCCACTAATGATGAAGAACATCACTCCATGATTAGTTGCCTATGACGATTGAGGTCTGTCAAGTAATTTGAACAAGTATAATCCTCTAGGTCACATGCCTCTAACATGAGAGATTTTTGTGCAACTAAACTTTTCTTTGATTCAACAATTGCCTCTTCACCCTTTAGTATCTGCACAGCCTATAGTCAACAAAGATACATGTTAACTTCCTAGGAAACAAAAAGTTATAACAATGTTTCGATCAAACTAAGCTGAAAAGGAAAATATGATAATCTTCTAACCTGATTCATAAATGGCCGCTTGGAGGATGCGTGATGGACACACATGGAAGCTATCACCATGGCACGCTTCATTTCAATAGGATCATAGTCATCTCCTAACCTGGGGTCTGCTATACCCTTCACATTGTTTGCGTCCAGCAGTGGCTTGGCCTGACAAATAGTACATCATGGTAATCTTTATCCTTATCAAATTAATTGTTTCAAAGCATAAACAAAATTTCACCAGCTATTATATATTTATATGAGTAAACTATCAATTTGATCCCCTTTTCTGTAAGCCCCTATCATATAAGTCACTGACATTAAATTAAAAACATAACAAATGAATCTCTCACGGTTCATTTCGTTAGTTATTTTAGTCTTTGTCGTACTCTACATATGATAGTAAATTATATAAGTTAAGGACTATTATGACAATAAGTTATACAAGTTAGGAACAATAATGAAAGTGGGAGATTTATTTGCTAATTTTTTTTTTAATGTCAGAAGCTACTATAACAATGTTCTACAAAGTCAAAGACCAAAATGGTAATTTAGTCTTATTTTATATATATACATCTTGAATTCTTGATTGCCAAATCCTCAAGTGTTCAATTAAGGACTCACTAATCTGTGTTATCACAGAAGGCTATTACACTCCATGAGGTATAAGGGGTTATGAAGACATACCCAGATGACAAGACTTTCCCTACTAGCATTTTTCA